CACTAAACCATAAAGCCAACATCCTAAAACCTAAACACTAAACCCTAAACCCTAAACCTTAAACCCTAAACCCAAACCCCTAAACCCTAAATGCCCCTAAATTCTCAACCCTAAACCTTAAACCTTAATACCTAAACCATAAAGCATAAACCCTATCCCTAAAACCCTAAACCCTAAACCCTCAACCTTAAGCCAAGCCCTAGCCCTAAACTGTAAACTCAATAACCAAAACTTAAAACACTAAAACTCTAAACTCTAAACCCTAAACCCAATACCCTAAACACTAAACACAAAATCCTAATTCCTAAAAGCTAGCCCTAACCCTAACCTTAAACGTGAAATCCCTAACCCCTAAAGCCTAAACCTTAAACCATAACATTAGACCCTAATCCCTAAACTGAAAACTCTAAATCCTAAATACTAATCCCTTAACCCTATAGCCTAAGCCATGAACCCTAAACCTTAAACCCTAAAATCCAAAAACCCTAAACCCTAAAACATTAAACCTTGAGCCCTAAAACCCTAATCCCTAAATCACAAAACTCTAAGTCCTTAAATGTAAACCCTAAACCATTAAACCCTCACACATAAAAATCCTAAACCCTAAACCCTAGAAACACTAAGTTGTAAGCCGTAGAATGTAAAGCCTAAACCATTAAACTCTAATTCCTAAAAATCCTAAACTAGAAACCCTAAACCCTAAATACTAGAAACCCTAGAACCTTAAACCCTAAACACTAAAAACCCTAAAACCTAAACTCTAAACACTAAAAACCCTAAAACCATAAATCATAAACCCTAAACCCTTAAACCCTTACCAAAATGCCCTAAACCCTAAAATCTCTATATGCTAAACTTTAAACCCTAAATCCTTAAAACCTTAAAACCCTAAAACCATAAACCATAAACACTAAACTCTAAACCCTAAACCCTAAATTATAAAACTCTAAACCCTAGAAATTCTAAACCGTAAAAACCTAAACACTAAACGCTACGCCCTAAAACCTAAACCCTAAACCCTAAACCCAAAACCACAAAACCCTAAAACATAAAAATCCGAAACCTTAATCCATAAAACCATAAACTCTAGACTAAAACGCTAAACCTTTAAAAGACAACCCTAAATACCTAAACCCTAAAATATAGAATCCCTAAAAATGCTAAACCCTAAACCCTAAACTCTAAACCACGTAAGCCCTAAAGCCGAAACCCTTAACCCTAAGCCCTTATCTCTAAAGCATAATACCTAAACCCTAAAACAAGGGCATATTAATAATTAAAATAATACTACAATATTTCTGAACTATTCATAAAATAATAATGTTATAATAAAACATGAATAAATTAATAATCAAAAGCAAAGATTTTATATAATCATAATCATAATAATAAAGTACAAATAAAATACTAATATATTATTTTTTAAATAATAACAAATTATTAAAAAAATATAATAATAAAAATATTATTAAAGTAATAATATAATGAATAAAATATTCATATGTTAGTGATAAATACAAAGATATTAATTTATAAATACTAATAAAATAATAATAACAAAAATATTATTTATTTAAATAACAACAACAACAACAACAACAACAACAACAACAACAACAACAACAATAATAATAATAATAATAATAAGGATTCTCTCTCCATCTTCATCTCTTTTTACTGCATTAAGGATGTAATCTCTTTCTCCTTCTGTGAGGTAATTACTCCACTAACCTTTTAATTGTCTTGTAAAGGATTCAGTGATAACGGTGGCTGTCACCTTTTCATCATTACCAGCCAATTTGCTTGCACAAGCATACCTAGTCATGTGTGCCATCATATCATGAATACGATATTCAGATTTCCCATCTAAATTCCATTCATAGAATGTATTCCAATTATATCCGATTTGGGGTTTCATTGGTTCTTCGAATAAAAGATCAACTCGGGTGTGCTTAGAATAATAAGGCTTTCTACTTTGGTATGAGAGTTTATTTATCTCCAGATTTGTAATGGATTCATTCCCGGCTACGGATTCATTATTTGATTCTTCTCCCATGAAATTTACTGATTTGGAGTTTGATAAATCATCTTCCCTTTTGGTTTTAATAGATTTGGAAGTTTCTCCCTTTTCCCAAATTGAGGGGGATATCAATTTGGCTGTTAATTCTTGATAGATTATTTTTGAGAGGTCTAATGAGTTTGTTTCAATTTTCATATTTTCGGGGAAGCTTGGGGTCTACCTAGGAATCGTAACATTATTCCTAGCGCTGGTCAGGAATAGGGTAGTCATTCCCCTACTTCCTGTGATCCTATCAGGACAAATAGTATTCATGGTTTTGAAGTAGACTCTATACACTAACACTATATTTTTTGATCATGGTTTCATATTTTAACATTGGGTCTGAATCCTAAGAGTTAAGGCTTCATGGATTCCCGGATCTATTAATGACACCGAAAAATATGGAAAGGCATTAAAACAAAGTAGCCCTTGATGGAGGCTTCCTTATATTACTCGTAATAAGGAGTCACTAAATCCGTTATGTCTAGAATCAGTCAAACAAGCTAGAGCAGCTATCTATAAACCCGTTCTAGTTAATGGTTTGATGGTGACTTGTATTAAGCCAAAATGTATAAACTTATAGTAATGTATTTTTTTTATAAGTTTCTATTATCTTCTTATCCACAAGAGAGAAGCTTTTTGCTTCATTTCCTAGGGCGATCGTTCTTTCTACAGTCCTAATATTTAGGTTTGTTTTTAGGTTGAATATTCCTTTTTTGTATATTTCAGATGGTGCAATCTTGGGGATAGTCCAGTTGTGTAAAGATTTTTCTATATTTTCGTAGTTTACTTCTTCCATATATAATAATAATAATAATAATAAAATAATAACAATAATAAAAAAAAATAATAATAGTAATAATATGCTAATAAAGTAAGAATAAAATAATAACTAATACAAAATTGAAAAATTTTAGTTGATTCTCTAATAATCAGAATTCTTGATTGAACCAGGAATATGGAATTGGTGATTCTGATTCCGGTCCCGAGGATTTGGATTCTGATTCCGATTCTAATTCCGGTTCCGATTCCCAATTCTGGTTCCCGATTCCGGGGTTTCAAGTGTTATGATACTGATCTCATTCAAGGTGGAGGACGAATATTTTCGGGATTCCAATCTAACGTGTCTGAAACTGTATTTCTTGTGGGTCCCCTGACCCCCTCATTGGATCATTATCCTGGCCTCAATAAAACTTCAGTTGGTCCCGGCCTATTTTATTTTTTGGTGGCGCCAGATCTCTCTTCTCTCTCAAAATCAAAACAGAGAGAGAGAGAGAGAGAGAATGGCGATGGAAGTAGAAGGGGAGGAGATGGTAACACCAGGTGAAGTGTTGGGGAAAGCATCGGATGTAAAGGCAGGGAGAGGTGCTTACTTAGCACCCCACAACAAAACCGTCTACGCTTCCCTTACTGGTCGCCGCATCGTTATCCCTCCTTCCCCAGCTTCACCAGATCAGGTCTCTCACTTCCCAACTTATTCTTCTCCTTTTCTTTCACATATACTTTTTTTTTTCTATTTTAGGGTTCACCTTATTGGGTTTAAACCAATCTTCATTGTAGTTGGTTACTGTATAATAATGTGTGTGTTCCCTTCCTCAGAGACCAACCGTGGAGGTGACTGGTCACAAGGCCTATGGCGCCGTTCCAGAACTGGGTTCCGTTGTCATCGCACGAGTATGCTTCTATTCTCTTCTTTTTGAATTTGAGCTTATTCTCTCGTGTTTTTTTGATGGTTCCATCGTCAATTTGCTTTGGTATTTTATCAGGAGTTGCCTTTTTTCAAATTTGTTTCACTTTTCCCACTTTTTTTTCTCATTTAAGCTGAAAATTGAATGAAGGAATTTGAGCTCACAAGCACGCATACTACTCTTAGATACTAAGAAAGCAACTTTCTGTGTTAGACTTTAAGTGTCCAGTGTGGGTGTCATTGGTGCCCCTTACTCTCTATATGGCGCCAACTGAATTTAGAACAACTACTTGCATCACCTGAATAAGCTGCATCTACAGAACCCCATAACACTTGTAGTACCAACTTGTCAGGACCCGAATTTTAATCAACGTTTTCAGGCAATTAGCTATTTTACATTATTTACTGTTGATGTCTTGTTTATTCTCATCCTATGTGTCTCGGCTCAAATTCATTTCATATTCTGGTGCTTATAATATACCTTAAACATTAAAATACATGTTAGGCTACAATAGTCATGCACCTGTTTTTTGTTTCAATAGAAATTCTGTGTAATTATGTTACTTGGATACACCAATGACACCGGATGTGGATATGAAAGTTACACTAAAAATTGAAATATATAGGTATTCGGGCATCATAGCTGTATAACGTGTTGCAATGGTGGTTGTGCTAATATCGGTTGTCTTATATGGCTGTAGAAGGCGTGGGTTGGATTTGTTTTCATTTTGTATTTATTAATTGCGGCAGGTTACTAAAGTGATGGCTAAAATGGCATCAGCTGATATAATGTGTGTAGGCCCCAAGGCAGTGAGAGAAAAGTTTACTGGCATTATCAGGTTGGTGATTTCCTTTTTTATTTGAATCTGAGAAAAGAAAGAGGTTAGGGAATCTCATTATGCAATGTAAATTTTATTATTTATTTTTTTGGTTGGGTGATAGTGCTTAAAGAATAGTCAACATTCCAAAGCGCATGCGCACACACACACACATATATTTTCCTAGCCTGTCAGGGATCAAGCGAAAACGTGCACATCCATGCATGAACAGGTATCTTAGGTGTTAAATTAAACCAGAGGTTAGGGTCAAAATACCATGCATAAGGGAAGGGAAGATTTTTCCATTCTTCCCAGTTCAWATTGCAACATTTTGTGCACCCTATTAGAGATTTATACCATCATAATTTGATTAGTGTAGCTTAAGTAACCTCCTGTTACAGTTTTTTTTCCACTCTTTTTCTCATCTCATTAGCAGGTAGATCTTATATTTTAACCATGTTGAGTTCATCATTTTACCTAATAAGTCAAATTGTCAAATTTATTATGCTTTATAAGTTCAATTGAAATTTAAATTCTTAGACCGTTACCAGTATTACATGGACACAGACATGGAAATAAGAATATGACATATGTTCAGGAGTCTGACTTGGCAAGGTGAAAAGTCAAGGACTTGCAGACAGCCAGATACATTTATAGAAAAGTATAAACTATTAAAATAACTCTTTTTTTTGAACTCTAACTTTTTATACCTATGGGAAAATGTTTAGAAGTTTATTTTTGTTATTTAATAACATTTTATCAAAAATAGCATCCATTGCATACATTAACTGTTCATTTATGTCAAATAAGTATACAAGGGAAAATGTTATGTAGAAGTGCCTGTCAAGAATCCAGTGTTAGAATTGAACAAATGTCTGATATGGACACTTAGTTATGTTTAGAGAGTCCATGCAACACTAACTGTAAGTCTGTAACAAAGTTATGTTTGGCTTGACCTTTAGTTCACATAATTTGGATGTATTCAAGTTCAGATTATCATTTTGGGATCATGCAAACAGTTTGCAACTTGGACATTTCAATATGTAGGCATTTAGCTATACTCGCTCAAGTATCCACCCGTGATAAAATTATCTCCTTTCTTTCATTCCTACTTCTTCATCCTCTTTTTTTTTGCATTTTGATTTTTGCTATTATTAAGCCTGGATATGCAGTGTAGTTACTTTTTGTATCATCAACCTGAATTGTATTAATATGACAAATGAGAAAGCTTCTCAGCATCCGGAAGGATAGAGAGATAGAGATAAGGCAGTACAGTACGAGGGAATCAAATAATCCTCAACAGACCATCACCAACAGTATGAGGAAGTTCAATAACTTTATCAACAATTGTCAATTAAAGGGATTTCCCTTGTTGCAAACCCTGTTTACATGGTCTAATTTTCAGGAAAACCCAACCTGCTCTAAACTGGATAGATTTCTTTTCAATGAAGGATGGGAGAAAAGCCCTACCTAGAGTTACCTCAGATCATTGCCCTATTCTGCTGGACTAGGAAATTTTAGATGATGGACCAAGGCCTTATAGATTTGAGAATATGTGGCTTACACAACTGGACTTTGTACGGAAGGTTAGAGTATGGTGGCGGGAGGAGTTGAGGGGTGTGAAATGGAAAGGAGTATGGTTCCATAAGAAATTGAAAATGTTGAGGTCTAAAATAAAAGAATGTGTTGAGTTTTGGGCTGATATAACATGTTTTTTATTTACATAGCATAGTTAGGGAGTTATTGGSCCTTAGTCCCATTAGTTTATGTTTTAAGTTAAGAGTGTTTTTAAGTTCTCACAAGTAGCCGACTTACTAAGGGCATACTTGTCTTTGTACTCTCTTTTATTTATGAATATATAATCCAATGAAAGGGGTGGCGAGACTTAATTCCGAGCTTCTCCCATTCTCTTCTACCTTTCTTCTCGCTCTTTCTCAGCTGAAACCTTTTCTTCTCTTTCTTCCTTCTTTTACATTTTTTATATCAAAATAGGTTGTCCAAACTTTTCTATTTGGTATTAGAGCAAGTTTAAAGATTTCTTGAGCTGCCCCATCATGCAACCCTAGATCGGCCGACTGCATGATAAGGTAAAGGACTGATCAAAGACTTTAGGTAAGCCTAGTTTTTGGATTTTATGGTGGAATTGCAATCCCTAGGGTTTTTACACCAAAATCAGGAAGAACTGGAGAAAGGGGGAGAGTCATGTTTTAGTAGGACTCTTCAATTTTGACCTAGGAAGTAGTGCTCTAGTTTTCTAGGGTTCCTTGAGGTTTTCTGAAGGGGGCAGTTCAAGTCTCAACCTTTTTGGAGGTCTCTGGATGGAGTGGCAACCTCTTCTCTCTCTTCTACTGCTCCCACAAAAAAAGGAATCATTGGAGGGAGGGGCTTCTAGGGTTACAAGAGGGTGTTAGAGGTTTCTAAAGGAGATAAATACCATTTTTTTCATCTCAAATTGATTTGCTAATCTATTCTAGGAGTTATGGAGGGTTGTGGAGTTGAAAACAAATTTATAGGAGAAATGAGATCAGGGGGAGGAGGTGTTGGAGACCTCTTCGGGGCTGGAACCATCACTACAGTCAAGTTGGATGGTACAAACTACTTAGAATGGTCACAATCTACAAAGATGGCCATTGGTGCTCGTGGGAAATTGGGGTATGTCACCGGTGAGGAAAAGAAACCTGAAACTAACCATTCCCGATGGATACAGGAGAACTACATGGTGATGACTTGGCTGTGTAATTCCATGTTGCCCCATATAAGTAAGAACTTTTTATGGGTTAACACAACTAAGGAGATTTGGGATAGAGTAGCAGAAACCTATTTACAAAATGAGAATGTTGCTAGAGCCGATCAGTTGAGAAACCAGGTGATTGCTACTATGCAGGGAGATAAGTCTGTTGCTATTTATTTTTTAGCCCCTAAAGCCTTATGGTAGGAGATAGATCATTTGGAGACTGTGGTTTGGGAAAGTAGCAAAGATGCATCAACTTATCAGAACCTGGTAGAAAAGAATAGGGTTTTTGAGTTTTTAGCTGGACTTAACCCTGAGTATGATATTGCACGACAACATATTCTTTCCCGAGACAGTGTAACTCTCTCTCAGGCATATGCCTTTGTGTCTAGAGAGGAGAGTAGGAGGAATGTGATGATGAGGAACTCATGCCTTGAGCAATCAGCTATGGTTAGCACAATGAAGCCTAAATCGAGTAGGGACAAGGGTGGAAATGAACTGAGGAAGGAGGACAAAAGGGATTTGATTTATCACTACTGTAAGAAACCCAAACATACCTAAGATAGCTGTTGGAAGCTTTACCAACACCTTGTACTGAATTGGCTCAGAAATAAGAAGGGAAATGTTAATATGGCAATGACTGATAATTTATTAGGGCCACCTACTACAACCTCTCTAGAGTCTGTTGCAGTAGCTGCAGTGAGGGCTGAATTAGAGAGATATGGGTAGTTCCTGAATTAGAAGGATAACCAGTTCCAACTCATTATCAGGTGGACAACAAGGCGTAGGTGGATCAGGAGGTAGTTATTCTACTTCGTTTGCACACACAAGTAGTTCACATGCCACTACAAATTATGTATCCACTACAAGTAAGGGGGGACCTCCCTGGATTATAGACTCAGGAGCCTCAGAACATATGACCAATATTTCCACCATTTTCACCTCATACCACCTCTGCTCTGGCAGAGATAAGAGTTTCCACAGCTGATGGATCACATGTTCCCATTGCTGGGAAAGGGTCTGTTGGGATAACTGTTACCATTACCCTACCTTCTGTCATTCATGTTCCTAGACTGAGTACTAATCTTTTATTTGTTAATAGCTTGACAAAGAATTTGAACTGTTCTGTGATTTTTTCCCTGGAATCAAAGAGGATGATTGGGAGTGCTCATGAGGTAAATGGAATCTATCTTCTTGATGTGCTTGTCAGTCATCAGAGTCATCATGCCAACAAGAGTATTGAGTCAGAGTTAGCGGGTTAGATTATACTTTGGCATAATCGGTTAGGACATTTGTCTTTTGCTTCTTTGCGTTTTTTGTTTTTCAAATTGTTTGAGTCTGTCAGTTTGTCTAGCTTGGAGTGTGAGGGTTGTCAACTTGGAAAGCATTGTAGGCATTCCTTTAAAGCAAGTAATAAAAGATATTCTTTTGTTTTTGATATTGTTCATACTGATATGTGGGGGCCATACCATGTTTCTCTATGAGTGGCTATCGGTATTTTTGTCTGTTTGTGGATGATTATTCTTGGTATTCTTGGATATATTTGATGAGATCTCGTGATGAGGTATCGTCTTTGGTTCAACAATTCTATCAGATGGTGTTGACACAGTTTGGGGTACGAGTGAAAGCGTTTAGATCAGACAATGCCAAGGAATACTTTGAAAAAAGCTTGTCATCATACCTATTGGAGCATGGATTTATCCATCAGAGTAGTTGTACATACACTCCACAATAGAATGGTGTAGTAGAAAGGATGAACGAACATCTTGTGGAAGTAGCAAGAAGCATGATGTTGAGCTCTACAGTTCCAACTCGTTTTTGGGGTTATGTAGTTCTTACAACAGTGTTCTTGATTAATCGGGTGCCTTCTCGTGTTCTTGGATATAGCACTCCGTTCAACCTTCTTTTTCCTAAGGGGGAGACATTCCATATTCCTATAAGGGTGTTTGAATGTGTATGCTTTGTCCATGTTCTTGGTCATCATCGCCCAAAGCTGGATCCGAAGGCGAAGAAGTGTGTCTTCCTTGGGTACGCAGGAAATTAGAAGGGGTATTGTTGTTGTGGTCCAGTCTTTGAGAGTCGGTATGTTACTATGGATGTCACCTTTTTTTGAGTCCACACCTTTTTTCTCAGGGGGAGTGTTTTGGAGAAGGAAGTGAGCAATCTATACCACTTCCTGTTTCAACTCCTTTGTCTACTCTAGTGTTTGACCTACCTATCTCACCCGCTCTGTCACCTCCCATTGTGTCCTGGTTCTCAGTGTTTACACCACAACGCCTACGACAACACA